ACAAAGAGGAAAGGCCATGTGAAGATGGAGGCAGAGATTGAAGTTATGCAGCCACAAGCCAAAGAATGCCTGGAAAGCTAATACACCTTGTTTCTAATAGGTTATGCTTCACAGTCACTTTTCGAGAGGACACAATTCTAAAGTGTTGTATAACAGTATGATGTAAATGAACGTGGGTAAGATAACTTCATCCGTCTGAGCTGTTTTTTTCACCAAATTCCATCTTCACAGAATGTTGAGATAATTAAATGGGATAAAATAAAACTATCCAGGAGACAACTGGCAACACGCTCTCAAAGATTTAGCCATTTGAGACTAGGACCAAACACACATTGCATAGACACTCTGGTGAAACAAGGCCTCCTAGGAGACAGCCAGGATAATTAACATGCAAAGCCTGGGCCTGCATCCGAATCTCTTTTGTATGTAACCACTTACACCCATCTGGTGTCAGCTCTTGTTTCTCACCAACTAACCACGGCCCTCTCCCCCAGCCTTCTCTACTTCCTGTTTACGTAGATTGCTGCTTCCTGGCCAAGGAAACTGAATGGTTTCAGCCAGACTGCTTTTCCTCTGGACCCATGCCAAGAATATCTTCTTTGTTCTCCTTCTCTCATTCTGCTTTCTACTTATAGTGGAAGCCATCACATTAATGAGGAGCAAACTGCTGCCTAGAGCTATCCCTAGCTAAGCAGCTGGTCTTCCTCCTGGCTTTTGGATTGAGTCAGATGAACAGAGTAATAACATATAAGAAATCTGTCTGTCTCTGCTTGCCCCAACCCCTCTGAGATATGGATACTGACGCTTTTTTCCATTCAACTGTGCTAGTCATGATGTCTACACTGTCCTTCCCAGCCCTGTCCTGTTTGTGTGAAATAGTTCTGACCAAGGCTGGCAGCACAGCAGTAGGTTAACTCAACCAGAATACCAGGTTGTGAGGTTGTTGAAATGATCTAATTTGTGATTCTCAATATGAGGTCAATATTCAAATCATCTAAGAGGCTCTTTCAGACAAACAAATATTTGTAACTTGAGGGTAGGCATGAATATTTTGGAAAAAAATCTCTTAAGTGATAATGATTTTCCCCATAACTCCAGGCTTACCATCCTTAACACAATAGATAAGAATGTGAACTCTGGAGCCTGATTGGGTTTAAGTTCTGGCTTTGCCACCTATGAGCTGTGTGACACTGAGCATATTGCTTAATCTCTCTATGCCTCAAGTTCCCCATCTGTAAGACAGTGGTAATAATACCTACCTTCGTCATAGAATTGTTGTGAGGAATAAATGAGTTAATATGTGATAAGCACTTAAACTATATAAGCGTTTGCTGTTATTACTATTACTTTTATTGCTGTTTTTATTACTCCACTGGAGGGAGACAAAGTTGATCAGAGGGTGAGATGCCTGAATTAGTGCTTTGAAGATGATGCAGGTAGAAGGAGTGGCAGGGCTCATGGTATGACAGGGGAAGTGGGTAGCAGAGTTGGAATGGAGGAAAGATCATTCGTTGAAAGGAAAAAATTTGGAGTAGCATTAAATTTCTCTCTGAGACTAGAGTACCTGAGTTTACTACTTAATGGTGGCACAACCATGAACAGATTACTTAATTGTTTCCTCATTGCTAAGATGGAGATAATGATAACAGTGAACTATCTTAGAAGGCTGTCAGGAATCAAATGAGTTAATACATAACATGCTGATTTCTTAGAAAAGTGACTGCCATGCGGCAAGTGTTAGCTTTTATTTTTATTGGAGATTAGAAGGTCAGGGAACAGAGAGGCCAATTGTTAGCTGGACATTGACATTATCCTAGATGATGGCAAGGTTTGAGGTAAACAAGAACATTGTGAGCCAGCTGTAAAAGTCTTCAATGAATGAGATGACCAGGGGGCTGATAGTAATGCAATTTTCTCTATTGTTACATTCTTTCAGTTTCAGATTTTCTTATATCAACCAAGCCAAACATTTTCAAAATAAAAACTGTCAATGTGATCCATGTCACTGGAACAAAATAAAAAGTTTAAACTCTCCCAAATAAGACAGTATTGGATATCCCTTCCCATATTTAACCCACATGGGTATCCTCTTTCTCTAGCCTTCGTAGATTATGCAGCTGTTCCTAAACTGAGTTGCAATCTGTCACTTGGGCATCTCTAGGGGATAGTCCTAGACCAAACTACAGAAATTTTAATTTAGTAGATGAGGGTGAGACCTAGGATTGTGCATCTTAGCAAAACTGTTCAGTGATTATTTAGGAATACTGTTCATACTGGCCTTATTTTCAAGGGCTCCATAGTCTCATGGGGCTAGTACCTACCATATTGGAGAGTAGAGATATGGAACTGTCCTATCATCACCAGATGTTCTAGTGGATAGCACTGGTCTAGACCATTTACTCTCTCTAGCCCTTACTGTGATATTTAGCAAATGTAACTTCACCCTCCACTCTTTCCTCCACCTTCTAGACTCTTACTACACAATCTGGACTGTCATTTCCTAAGCAGAAAAGTCCCCATATAGTCTCAGCATTTCTCTGACTATTCTCTTTGCCTCTTGGCCCTAATTTATTTCCTCAGTGCAGGGCCAGCCTATGGTATCAGGGTCCTCTTTGCTCCCCAATGTGTGCTTCCACACTTGTGGGAAAGACTCAGTTACTTGGAGGCTAATGCCTTTGGCTATTAGCTATTCCACTCTCCCCCTTCTTATTAAAAGCTTTACTATCAGCCCCCTGGTCATCTCAGTCATTGAAGACTTTTACAGCTGGCTCACAATGTTCTTGAAAGCTTTGTGTTACCCATATTGTGGAATCAGGTAGTTAAGGCAATGTCATCTAGCTCTCATTGGTCAGGGAGCCCAGCTTTCATCTGGGTTACCATGGGAAAGAAAGTAAAACATAAAATGATCTGTGGGTCCTGCTATGAGAACTGCCTGACCCCCAGGCTGGCCACATGAGCCATCCCCCACTTACAGGCCCCTCTGCAAGCCTCTCCTGTCTCTGAGACTGGTCTGTGTGATATCCTGTCCTCTCATCTGCAGAGTGGCCTGGTTGGCTACAGCCCTACCCCTCACCCAAGGCATGTCACAAGGAGATATGTGGATAAGTGCTCTAGGTCCTAGAATCTAGGGGGTTAGGGAAGGGAGACATTAGTGTGGGCCTGAGCTATTAAGGTATCTGATTTGCTCTTCTTCTTAACTTCACACAGATTAGGTCGGGCAAGGCCATAGGCATTAATGGGCCCCAGAGATGGGAATAGTTTTGAGGAGTAGGGGTGCTGAGTTCCACAGAGCAGCTGAGATATAATAAAAACAATGTAGATTCCAGGAATATTGTCAATAATTGAGCCTTACAAGCCAAATCTGCATTAAGTCCAACAACAAGGAATATTCAAAACTGCAAGAAGAAACCCAATGTCGGAAGCAGGAGCAGAGCAGAAGACCGGGTCAAAGCAGAAATGAGCAAAAGGTATGGGATTTCTAAGCAGGAAACTGGGTTACTGGGGCTCCCTCTCCTCAGTGGGAGGCAGAGGTAGGAGAAAAAACTATAAGACCTGGACTGTGCATTGTAACACACTATGTGTGTGTTAAAATATACATGACATAAAATTTACTATTTTAACTATTTTTAAGTGAACAGTTCAGTAGCATTAAGTACATTCACATTGTTGTACAACTATCATCACCATCTATCTCTAGAACTTTTTCATCATCCCAAACTGAAACATTGTACCCATTTAATTAAAAACTCCCCATTTCTCATTCCTCCCAAACCACTGGTCTTTCTGTCAGTGATTTTCACTGTTCTCAGCACCTCATATAATTGGAACCAAATAATATTTGCTCTTTTATGCCTGGCTCATGAAATATACTTTTAAAATATCCCCTCATAGTTTCTAAGGAATATGTTGTTGTCAGATGTGCACAAGGTTATGCCTCTACTAGGTTTTCAAATAAACCAATCACCTGCCCCTTATCCACCACTGGCTCTGATTCTCCTCTTAATGGAGAAGTGTGCTGTCAGGAGGAAGGGGGCCCACTTTCCCTCTTCCCATTGTTTCTGCTGGTGCTACCAGTTTGCTTCCTCTGTTCCCCAACCTTGATCACCACTGCCAATTTTATCTCTATTCAATCACACGACAGCCATTTCTAACCCCAAAATAGGATGGAATTGTCCCTTTAAAGAGTAAAAATGTTTTCAACAAAGCTTAGGAAGTCTGGCCTCCAAAAAAGTGTGTTTAGGTTCAAACAGATGGCCACAGAACTCCTTTGGTTATCTAAGGTCTGGGATGGGACTCACTCTGTGACACCTGGGATGGGACTCACTCTGTGACACCGCCTACCCCAGTCTCCTTTCTCTATTTGATTTGTGCCCACAGGAAGATGGATATTCCCTTCCACTGCCCACAACTACTGCTTTCCAGCACCAGGCCTCTGTTCTCCTAGGATGAGGGCCTATTTCATGATCCTCTCTCCATTTAAGGGTATCAACCACCTCTTCTGGGTTCCAATCATTAATTCCCAAGGCCCTTTTTACCATTTCTCCTAGAAGGCTTAAGAGTCTCCATGCAAATCAGACTGGGTGGTGGCAGTGACATCCCAAAACTCTCAAGGTGATGAAGAATCTTACCATGACCACTGTGACTCATGAAATAGATGACGGAGGGTCAAGTTGGAGACTGCCATGTCATAACCAGACACTGTCAGAGGGCTTTGCTGAAAGGCTTCTTATCAGTCATAAAAGGTCAAAAATTAGCACCTTCGTGGTCTGAAAGTAAACACTGAGAAAGAGGAAAGCCCATCGGCTCTAGCAAAAATCTACTAGGTGAGCAACCTTGGCAAGTGATTTAATCTGGCTAAGTCACAGCTTTCCCATTTGCAAAATTAGAATAATATATAGTATCTAATGCAGAGGGTGTATCAGTTTTGATTAATATCGACTGAGAAACAGAAACACAACATAAGCAGTTTAAATAATATAGTTTATTTTTCTCTCACATAGAAATCCTGAGGTACCAAGTCCAGAGCTGCTCCACCACATATTCAGTGACACAGGCTCGCCTCACTGTTGTCCATTCCTTGGGTGTGGCCCTGACCCTCATGGTCCAAGACAGTGACGAGGGCCGCAGCTATCATATTGGTATTCCAGGAAGAGGATAGAGGAAGAGATGAAGAAGACACAAAGGGCATGTACCATCTGTCTTTAGAGGAAAGTTGCCAGAAGCTTCCATACAACACTTCTGCTTCTATTTCATTGGTAAGAACTTAGTCACATTTAGCTGCAGGAGAGGATGGGAAATTCCAGACAGCCTTGTGTGCACCTAAAATTAGAAATTCTAGTACTATGGAAGAGGGGTAAGGTGGATTTGGGAGAGAAATTTGAGGCTCTGATACATAAGTTATTTGTTGTAAAGATTAAAGTGTTCCAACAACAAATGTTGTCTACTTTTAATATTCTTCCTTAAGGGGTTCCTAAGGAGCAACTTGAGGAAGCAGAGATAAGAGTGGCCCCCCAAGTGAAGAGAAGATGCGGCTTTCATTTTACTCTTCGTCAAGATGGTGACGTACCCAGACATTGTAGCCTACGTGGTGTTGACTAAAAATTTTCAAAGTTGTTACCTCTTTACAGATTAAAATAAATAGAACCCTACTGGGACTTTGCTTGCTTTGAGAGTGTCACAGTGATTCACTGTGAGACAACCGGGGCAGGCTCTAAGAACGCAACACACCAATATCCTAACTAGATATAGTTTCTGGAAGGGACAATTCTCAAAAAATCTGTACCTCCTCATACTCCATTCACCATCACTGTGAGGGTTTCCTTTTCTGTAACAACGTCCACTGTCTAGGGCCCAATCAGCACCATCTCCAACATAAGTCTGACTTCCCTCTGCCATCACATTCTATCTGTGGTGCAGACAAGTGCCTGGAGAATATTGTTTCTTCTCTATCTTAATAAGTCCTGTATCACTCACTCACTAAGATGTATTATGTGATTTCTTTCATTCTAGGGAGCACAATTCCTACCAAAGCCACTAATGCACACCGAATAAATAATCAAGACATTGGAAGAATTGACTGATTAACTAGGAACTACTAAGACAGACTTCCCATAATCTCAAGGCTGTGGTGGTTAGATTCTAGTCTAATGGCCTTCAAAAGGCTATTTTAGCAGAAACTGACCCTAATTTTTTTTCTATTGAAATATTACATTGCATCCCAATATGTAAAACCTATTAAAAGCAGAGTTTTTCAGTTCTGTGATGTTCCAAAAAAAAATAAATAAATAAAAGCAGAGTTGGTCTTGAAGGTGGGAAGGGCTAAAGCCCAGTCTACTCAGCTTCTTGCCAAACACCTTGACTACCATGTGAGGAAGCCCTGGAGGTACTTCTATGGAACACTAAAGCTTGCTCTACTGGTCTCAGTTTGAATACCCCTGTTCTGGTCCATTCTCTGGCTTTAAGAGTTAAGGGCAAAGAAAAAAGCTTTAGAATCAGTAAGGCCAGGTATCAAATGTTGAGCTCTACCTCTTATTATAATAACAATATCCTTGCAATCCTGATTTCCATGCTACACTACCCTACTAAGTGACATTCCCTCCTTAGACTCCCAGTCAAATGTATCCATCTCTTCCTGGTCTAACTTCCCATCCCTTCTTCCTTATTTCCTCTCAAATCTCATTTGCCATGACTGATGAAGGAAAGAAGAAGGGAGAAGGAGATAAGGTGAAGTAAGAGGAACTAGGCTCGCAGATGGAGGGGTAAGAAGCCAGAGCTGTGTAAGAATAAGCACCACTGATGCCCAGCAGGTCTAGAAGCCAAAGCCCAGGTACCTTTATTCAGAGCCAAGACTAGATCCCAGCTCAAGTAGCGCACCTCATGCCTCCTCTTTCCTGTGTGCCTCCGCCCCATTCCTGCTTGGGATTCCCAGGTCCATCTTGCCAGAGTTAAAGAGGGTAGGCCACAGGAGAGAATGAAGAGAGATGAAGAAAAGAAGCAGAGAGCATCAGTGGAATACTTGTCTGGTTCGGATTCCTTTGCAATCCCTTGACTGCCTCCTCTGAAGAGCTCTACCCGCAGCTGTGCTGGCCCCACTGTGTAGCCTTAAAAATTCCATTCCGTCATCAGCCTACATCAGAGGCTTTTCTCACTGGGGAAGACAGGAAGACAGATGTTGATCTAGGTGCCTAAGCAGGCATTCAACTAACATTACTGAGTACCCATTCTATGGTCAGTATTCTAGGCACAGGTGATTCAAGGATGAAAAAGAAAGATGTCCCTATCATAATGAATCTTGCAGAAGCAAAGTCTTATACAAAGGACTGCAGAAAGCCTTTCCAAAACAGTCAGCTGAGACACTTAGAGCATAATAGGGTAGGGAACTTGTGGCCTGGGGGTCACATGTGGCCTTCTGGATCCTTGAGTGCAGCCTTTTGACTGAATCCAAATTTTACAGAACAAATCCTTTTATTAAAGGGGGTGCAAGGGAGAAATATGAAACTTTTCTTGCCTCCTTTAGTGCTCAAAAAAGAACAATCTTGAAATCAGAAGGCCACAGGTTCCCCACCCCCAAAAGGGGGTATGCTTGATCTTGTAAGGTCATCATGCAAGAGAAGATAAAGGTTTCATCTTAGATGCCAACTCTGATTGACTGGTGGTGGTTGTCTGGAGTCCTATGAGGATTGTGAAACCCCGTCTGAGCTCAGCATGAAAAGGGCCTGTGACAGATTAGCAACGTCTGCCACATGTATTTAAAGGATGAGTGAAGGCAAATGTGCTACACATTACTATCTTAGCCTAATGTAGACTATCCTACAGTTTTCACAGTTGTTTTACACCTGTTCATTTTCCAACTAGGCAACAAGCTCTAGGGAAGGCACCATTATGCAGCAGAAGGAGCACCGGAAGCTGAGCAGAAGAACTTTCTTTTCTCTTCTGAAAGGTAGCACGGTGGGATGAAATCAGAGAGGCATGGCTTTGGAGCCAGGCACTCTACTGTTCCACAGATTGTCTGATCCTAAACATGTTACAGTCACTTCTTATTTCTTCATGGTAATTATATTCTATAAAGTCTCTACAAACACCGAATGAGCATTTGCTAACGAACTGTTACTCATAGGAGAAACTTTGTTAGGCACCTGCAAGCCTCTGGTCACATTTTCATCAGCTAATCAATACATAACCTCATTTCATGTATGTTTCTGCTTAGAGACACCTTATTTAATATTCATTATTGATTCATCAACACTGAACACACGGACAGTAGTGCTATAATTCATGCCTGAATGGAGCTTATCTAACACATGTGTTTTCTCTGTAAGGTACATCAAAGCCTTCTTGCTCTTAGGAACACTAGACAGCACTTCAACACTATGATTAGGGCCCATTTTAAACAGCAAAATCACCAAAAATGCAAAAATGAAAAACACATAGCACCAAATAGACTGCAAAAAGGATCTTGTTTACAGTACGAGAGATGAAGCAAGAAGACAAGGCATTGCCTTGTTCGACCTCAGCTGCTAATGTGCATGTTAGAAAATTCCAATTTTTCACTGATCTGCACTTGTCCATGAGTGACCACAAAAGTGCCATGAGTAGTGATTTGGGTTTACAAATAAATTTTAGCAAGTAGGCAAATCTGCAGTTACAGAATCCATGAATCATGAGGATGGTCTATACTAGATCTCCGTGAGCCTTGGTAATGGTACTTCCCTCACACTACAGATTAAATGAGAGAAGGTATATAAAATGCTTTGCATGATTCTAGTTAGCTATTCTTTACCAAATTTTTGTACTTTCAACCTCTGTACCTTATCTGCCATGCTCCAACCAGAGACATAAGTAGATACCAAGAAAGTTCCAGCCAAATGTATTATCTTTATCCCTGGAGCATAGTCCAAAAACCATCCACACTAGCTCAAGTAGAAAAGAAGGTATTTTGAACACATACAAGAGGCTATCATTTGAAGCACTAAAGTGCAGCTATCAGCACAGCTGGGCCATCCTGGGATGGGACCGAAACAGGAAGATCAGAAGCAATCCCACCTCTCACATGCCTGCACTCTCTGCCATTTGTCCCTCTCTCCAAGAGTCTGCTATACATTCCTGCTTCCCTCAGCAGACAGGAGGTTTCCTCTGCTTTCTCTCACTTCCTTGCATCCTCATAATTTTGACTTTTATGTGGTTCTGGCTTCTATAGCACTGATTATAGCCCGACTCTAAATGGCAGGTGCATACCTGTCATTTTTTGACCCTCTAGCACCATTCTCCCACCTTTGGTAACAGAGGAACCAACTGCACCTCTGCCTCTAGGATTGGCCTGTGAGTGAGGCATGGCCATTGACTCTCTCTTCTGAAATCTGATCTGTCTTGGTTATCTTCTATCACTTCTGTCATTACTCTGTATGTCTGTTTGCTGCCCCATGGCTTTTGTTTGCTCAGAGCTGTTTATTCATGGTTTCTGCTTACTCATGAAGTCTGAATACTGCCTTCTCTCTGTCTTTCAACTTCTGCACTCATTGATGATTTTTTTTCCTGGTCTCTCTGGTTCTGATTCTTGAAAGAAAAAAAATCTTATCGTCATAGTTAATTGCCAAGTATTTGGACAGAACTTTCATGCCAAGATGCCATATACACCAACATCCAGCCTATTGGACAGCTGCCCCTAGATAAGGGCCTGCCACGGCCCAACAAGTAGTACATAGGGTTGTAGGGGCTAGAGGTGTGCATGTGGTATTGAACGTGGCCACCTATGTTTAAAGATTTACATCAAGCTGGTTATCCAGATCTTTCTCTTTTTCTAACACTTCATGCCCAACCTATGAAGAAATCCTATTAGCTCTACTCTCAAAATATGTTTAGGATGTAATCACTTCTCACTGCTGCCACTGCTACCACTCTGCTCCAAGCCACAATGCCTTTCACCTGCAGCACTCCAGTAGCCTAAGAGGTCACCTGCTTCTACCCATAATCTAGTCCCAGTAGAGTAGCCAGAGTGATTCTTGAAAAGCCTGAGTCATGTCACATTATTCCTTTGCTTCACATATGCCAGTGGCTCCCCATTTCACTCAGAGTGAAAGCCAAAGCCCTAGCTCTGTTCCTCTGACCCCATCTTTACCACTTGCCCCTTGCTCACTCTCTAGTCTAGCCACACTGGTCTTGTTTCTCTGCAGGTATTCCAGGCATGCTTTTACCATGAGGCCTTTGCTCCAGCTGCCCCATCTGCCTGAAACACATCTCCTACAGACAGTGGCTTCCTTGCTTGACCAACTTATTTCATTCTACGACTGTATTCAGTTACACTCTCTAATCAGTAAATACTGTGGTATTAAATACAATAGTTACCCACACAGCCATTCCTTCTTACATTATAGCACTTTTTATTTCTGCACTTATCCCTTTCTAACATAGTTTACAAATTATGCTTATTATTTATTGCTTATATCCCCATTAGAATGTAAGCTCTACAAAAATAGAGATCTTTGTTTTGTTCCCTGACATACACTGAGGAATTACAACAGTGCCTGGCCAGGCACTCCATAAATATCTATTGAATTGAATTGAACTGAATTCCTCGGTAGGCAGCTAGAAACAGCAGGTATACATATATTCCCTATGAAATATAAAATATGTCTTTCAGAGAAATGTATAA